CTATGGTCAAAACTAGTTTGCCGCAAGCCAGAGTGGCTGATCGTCCGCCGGTGCGGTAGAGAGCGTCGTCGAAAAGCAGCTGGCTCTGTTCGGCGCCGGCGCATTACGGAGATCGTACAGGCTCCCACCATACGCATCCGGTAAGCAGCTTCAGGCACTCTGAGTAGTGGTATGCTCGAGGCTCCTTGTGGCACGACGGGCGGAGCGTCTATGAAAGCAGAACACCGTGAGGTCGCTACTGTACGTCCGGCTGCGTCGACAGTCGTACGAAGTCAACAGTTTGAAATGTAGGTCAACGCAACTGTTGCCGCAAGATCGACCACGTTTGACAAGCGGATTGCAACTTCTCCAATCCTTGAAGGCTTAGCTATAGACGGTGGCAGGCCAGCAGAAACAACAGCGACAGGACCCAACCTACACCACGGTTGACGAGCAAATTGCCCTGTAAACGGATAAAGGTTCGCCTGACAGCTTCCGCGCCGCCTTTGCCGACATTGCTCAATTGGCCTCAGGGGTCTGGTCGAAAATGACGCGTCTCTCGAGCCTCTTCAGCCACGATCGTCGGGCTTGGCCCAGGCTCAAGCTCGTCTCGCCCGACTCATTATGGGGCTTGTGGTATACGATGGAAAAGATCCGTTTGCCCTTGGAGTCACAGCAAGCGAAGCGAAAGGCTGACCCTCCAGCTGGCTCCATGCTGCATCCGATGCTGCACATGGCATCGCGAAAATCGTTCCAGGAGAAGGTCTGCTGGGTGCCATTTTGCAAAGAAAACCAAAAGCCCGGCTCCTCCAGGTGGACATGCAGCTGAGGACTCGAAGATGAGGTGCATAGCGGCCGTTTGGTCGACTGCACAGTCGGTCGGTCGGGCTTGCTGTTCTGCTGTCGTGCCCGTTGCCGACGGGTTTGCTTGGGTTGGCTCGCAGTGGCTACTGTCAAGGACGCCTTGTTGAAGGTTGAGATCAAGGGCTCCGTTGGAGTATCTGGCGCAGGCTGTTCAGGCCCAAGGGGCATCTTTCGTTCTATCTCACAGAATACGCGTTCGAGAGCTTTGTCGTTCTGCGATACACTTTTCATTTGCCGATCCAGCCTCCGCCAAAAACTCCAATGTCCTCCCGCAAAGTTATACTCCTTGGCTTCCGTCATGGCCCTGACCGCCTTGTCGAGGATCTCCAGCCAAGGTCGCGGCCTGCTGGTCTGTCCTGCGTCGAGGCAGTTGACCATCTTAGAATGCTGCATCCAGTCAGAGATTGACAAAAAATGGCTTCCCGTCTCTTCCAAGCAGGCAGCCAAGACATGCAGGTCGCTAAGGGTTTGTGAGACCATCATAGGGAAGGACCTGGTTTCATCTATTTCTCGGTTTATCGTTCTCATCACCTCTGGGAACCCCATTTGCCGAAGGACCGGATCGTCTTCCCTGACCATGTCTAGAAGCCGATGACCTGCCTTGGTGAGGCATCCCTGCGGCGGTGTCTTGATCCACCGGAAATGGAGCAATCTCTCTTCGAACGCGCTATGGAGAGCGCTGTCGAGGGTTGATGCGATCTTGATATCATCGTCTTCCGCGTCAGTCAACAATGGATGTTT